ACTGAGTAGATTGGGATTATATTCATTGGAATTCAGAAGATTGAGGGGGGGATCTTATAGAAACATATAAAATTATGAAGGGAATAGATAAGATAGAAGTACAGAGGATGTTTCCACTGGCAGGTTAAGCTAGGACAAGAGGGCATAGCCTCAAGATTAGAGGGAGCAGATTTAGGACTGAATTGAGAAGCAACTTCTTCACCCAGAGGGTTGTTAATCTATGGAATTCCTTGCCCAGTGAAGTAGTTGACGCTACTTCAGTAAACGTTTTTAAAGATAAGGTAGATTTTTTTTGAACAATAAAGGAATTAAAGGATACGGTGAGAACGCGGGTAAGTGGATCTGAGTCCACAAAAAAGATCAGCCATGATCTTATTGAATGGCGGAGCAGGCTCGAAGGGCCGGATGGCCTACTCCTGCTCCTAGTTCTTATGTACCTGTGCTGGCATCTTCTGGTGTCTATGAACTTGTACACCAAGGTCCCTTTGTTACTCAGTACTCCTGAGGAACCTAATCATTCATTCTGTTTCTCCACCCCTTATCAGATCTTTGAAAATGCATCACCTCGCTTTATCAGGATTAAATTCCATCTTCCATTGCTCTGCCCAATTTACCAGCTGATCAATATCAGACTAAAGCTTGAGACCATCCTCCTCACTGTCAACACCACCAATTTTGGAATCATCTGCAAACTTAATGATTATAGCTTCTACATTCACATCCAAGTCGTTAATGTACATAACAAATGGCAAGGGTCGCAGCACCGATCCCTATGGTATACCAATCAGCCAGACTTCCAATCACAAAAACAAACTCCACCATCACGCTTTGCCTTCTATTTGCAAGCCAATTTTGGATCTTGTTTGCCAACTTGCCTTGGAACCCATGCACTCTTATCTTTTGGAACAGTCTTTCATGTGGGACCTTCTCAATGGTCTCATTGAAGTCCACGTAAACCACATCAACTACACTACCCTCATCAATACATTCACCTTCTCAAAAACTCAACTAAATTAGTCAGACAGCATCTCCTTCGAACAAATCTGTGCCATCTATTCCTGATCAATCCCTGCCTTTCTAAGTATTGATTAATCTGGTCCTTTAGAATTTTTTTGAATAATTTCCCCTTCACTGACATCAGATTAAAATGATCTGTAATTGCCTGGCCTATCCCCACTGTCCTTCTTGAACAAAGGAACCACATTAGCTATCCTCCAACCATCTAGCATTTCACCTGCGGCCAGTGAAGTACTAAATATCTCTGCAAGGGCCCAGCAATCTCCTACCTTGCCTCCCATAGCAGCCTCGGATACATCACATCAGCCCCTGGGCACTTACACACCTCTATGCCCATTAAACATCTATTACCTCCTTATCAATCTGAACATGCTCTAGATGCTAATTATCTCAAATAAAATCTCCAGCTACAATGTTTTTCTCCTTGTGAATACAAATGAGAAATATTCACTTAGGACCTCACCCAAGTCTTCTGACTCCATGTACAGATTGCCCCTTTGGTCTCGAATCAGTCCCACTCTTTCCCTGGTAATCCTGTTGCACTTAATAAACGTGTAACAGTCTTTAGGGTTTTCCGTAATCTTATCTCCCAAAGATATTTTGCAGCCCCTCTTTCACATTCAAATTCTTTTTAAGTGCCCCCCACTACACTTTCTATACTTCTGTTTTTAATGCTCAGTACCTGACATAAAACTTTGTCTAAATAAACTCTTGATAGCACTTGACATCAGGCTTCCCTGGAATTGCTGCCCTTGCCCTTCACTCTAGAGGATCATGCTAGCCCTGAACTCTTACCATCCTACTTTCAAAAGACTCCTCCTTTCCAAATGTAGACTTACTTACAAGTAGCCACTGCCAGTCTATATTTGCCAGATCCTGTCTAGTGTCACCGAAATTGGCCTTACCCCAATTTAGCAATTATCTTCTGCACTATCCTTATCCCTTTCCATAAGAATTTTGGAACTTAGGTCACAATCTCCAAAATGTTCGTCCACTGATACTTCAGCAACTTAACCAGCTTCATTCCCTAGGATTAGTTCTAGCACTGCCTCATCTCTGGTAGGACTATCTACATCCTGGCACACAAAGCTCTCTTGGGTGCTCTTAGACATTCTACCCAATCTAAACCTTTCACAATTAGGTGATCCCAGTTAATTTAGCAAAATCCCCTGCAACTAGAACACTATTCCTCTCACCTTTCTGTAATTTGCCTACATAACTGGTCCTCCATCTCCCTCTGATTACTAGGATTATACTACAGACCTCCCGATAAAGTGATTACCCCATTTTATTTCTAAAGCTATACACAGATGGACTCATTTCAGGAGCCTTCTAAGACATCCTCCCTCATTATTGCAGTAAATTATCTCTATCAATAAAGCAATGCCCCACCTTTTCTTACATTGCCCCCACCAACCTCCCTCCTCCTCCCTGAAACTTTCAAATCCTGGAATGTTGAGCTGCCAGTCCTGCCTTTCCTCACTCACGTCTGCAATTACAACAATACCACATTTCCAAGTGATAACTAATGCTCTAAATTCAGACATTAAAAATAGATACAATTTAGCTTTCCAGTCCCCTCATGTACCTTCTCATGCAGGACTTTTATATCTACTACAGATTTAGAATGTACTTTTTTTTTAAAAATAGACTGCTGCATGGCCACTAATGCTAATTTTTAATTCTAGACTTATTCATGATCTGCATTTAAATGCTGCCACAGTGGGGTTGAACCCATGTAGACAAACTTGTACACTCCTCTAGATTGCACGTCCATTGACATTTCCATCACTCCACCATCCTTTATTCCACACCACCCCGTGCAATAACTCTCATATAAACATGGAAGTCGCCAAACAGCACAATCCTTCAACAACAGCAAGGTGAATGCTCATTATTGGCTGAGATTGGAATGTTTACTTTCAGTTCAAACTAGTTTATTTTAATTGCACATTAAGAGGCAGGCTGAGATAATACAGCGTGGAGCTGCAGGAACACAGCAGGCCAGACAGCATCAGAGGAGCAGGAAAGTTAACGTTTCGGTTCGGGAAAAGGCAGGCTGATCCTTGGTTTAACGGCGTATCCGCCCAGATTATCTGGAGTGGGCTGCAAACCCCTCACCTGATCCTCAGAGTCCCCGAGCTGTTCCACAGCGCCATTCTTGCGCTCGACCTCCGTATTGCCGCAATAACGAAGTTTTAAACGCTCGATGATGGTTTCGAGTGCCGGATCCTCGTTACTCGCCATCACTGCCGCTCCTCATCACCGCGGTAACCGTTTGAATCTGCAGCCGGAACTTCCGGGTCAAAGGGAAGGCTCATCTCCAGGCGACAAAGCTGCACCCAAACCGACACTGCGGTACCTGCTCAACCTCCTCTATTGTCGTGAATCGACCGGCAGTTACATTGACGCTGATTTACACATTGAAGCCAAAACAAATCAGAACCAATGAACATTAAAAACGAACAAGCCAATAACGATCACAATAAGAATAAATTTCACTTTAAAATAATCCATAGACGTGCAAAATTCTCTCCCAAGCACCTACATCACGCCCCACAGCCATGCGGCAGCACATGTAGACCTAAAATTCTTTAACGTGGCTATGGTGTTTCGTTAAAGCAAATTGGCTGTAACATGATTGATGAATAGTGGATGCTATTTGGATAACACAAACCTTCTGCTATACAGGTACGGTGATTTTGTAGCGATTTCCCTATGACATGATTTTCTGTAGCATGAGGGCACACAAGAACTCAACTATTGTGTTATAGGAGAACTACCTGTACTACCAGTTCCTACTCCATTGATTAATCCCGAGAGTCAAATGCCCACCGGAACAGCACAGTGGTTAGTAGTGCTGCCTCAGCACCAGAGACCCAGGTTTAATTCCAGTCTTGGATGACGGTGTAGAGATTGCACATTATCCCAGCGTTTGCGTGGGTTTCCTCTGGTGCTCTGGTTTCCTTCCACAGTCCAAAGATGTGCAGGTTAGGTGGATTGGCCATTGCTAAAAATTGCCCTACAGTGTCCACGGGCATGTGCACGTTAGATGGGTTAGCCAAAGTAAAATGCTCTTCAGGATTGGTACATACTCGATGGACCAAATGGCCTCTTTCTGCTCTGTAGGGGTTCCTTTACAGTTGCAGCAAACTCTTGAAAGGCAGTTTTAAACATCATTGGGGAAAGTGACTGATGTAAAATCAATAGTTAAAAAAAAGGCAGCGTAATTGGCAGAAATTGTGCTTTAAGCACTACAAGTGAAAGGAGAAAAAAGACAAACACAAAGAATTTAAACAGGGAGAGAAATAAAAGCACAAGTTAGGGCAAGTGTTCATAATATATATTCATTGTACAAACATACTACCAATGTTCAAAATTCAGTTAGTATGTTAGCTATTTTCACAGGTAGATCACATTCTGCTGCACGTGCCTGAAGGGTCCCACCTGAAACGTCAGCTTTCCTGCTCCTCTGATGCTGCCTGGCCTGCTGTGTTCCTCTCCAGCTCCACACTGTGTTATCTCAGACTCCAGCATCGGCAGTTTTTACTATCTCTGCTACATGTTTGATGGGAATATGCAAACTCTGAAGGCAAACTAATAAAGGAAAAAAAGTACTCCATGCCAGCAAAAATAAAATCTGAAGGCTGAAAACTCAAATTAACTACAAACATGAGTTAGGAGCAGCAATAAGCCATTTGGCTTCTCAAGCATGTTGTATAATTTAATAAGATCATGGGAGTTCTGGCTGTTACCAACAGAACAGAAAAAGATTCAAATAAAAAAAATCCTTTTGAGCCTGTAACCAAGATAGCTGTGGGTCAAAAAAGAGGAAATCTAAGTAGGCCCCATGAAATGATTACCTTGTATAGCACATACAGGGGAGAATTATGTAAACATCCATTTCTTTTAACACACATCTCCCATAACCTAATGAGGCTTTCCTTGAATAAACAATAAATACACAAACTGAAAGCATTTAGAAAGGTACAATAAAATTTATTGTTGGTAAGGCATGTACCTCCATTTCAAATCTGTACGCATTTGAAACAAATCAAAGAAAATGCTTAAATCCACCAGTAGATACAATTATACCTTTATTATAAATATTTATAAAGTTTGGGTTTTAACTAGTTAAATTTACCAATTTAAAATTACAGAGCCAATCACATTAGCAAATACTAGAAAATCATTGTAAAAAACGACTTTATATTTTACAATAGTGTCAAATCTGTTTCAGTAAATGTAATTTTTAACAGCAGAGCTTTAATCTTGGCAACAAAATAACCAAATGTAACCTGATTCCAGGATTTTGAAACAAAATCTTAGTGTTTTGGTTGCACTAAAACAAAAACAAAAATATGCAAAGCCTGGTTGATATTACCAAATCCTGTTCGGCAATTACCACTTGTAGACCTGGAAAACAGTTACTAATTCCCACCTTAATTCTGAATTTCTGCACACTTTAAAAAGTTGCAACTTAATGACAATTTCTCTTAACTTTGATTGCCAGGTTTAAACTGCTCTGCACAGTTCGGCTGGAACTGCAAAATGTCGTGTTTACATTTAAGATAAATGCCACCGCTCATTGTTTGCCAAAATTTTTATTCTGAAACATGCAATATTCAACACTAACAAACTTGGACAGCTGCTAGCCATCAATATAATTTGTACATCCAATGTTCAGACCAGTACAGTTAACATCCCAGCAACATCCAATATTACAGCATTCCAAATAGACAGCATGACCAAAGAGAAACTGGGTACTCTCCATTTAAGAAATCTGCCCACAATCAGTGATTGTAATGGTTCGACTTGTTTCGCCACTTTCAGAACCAAATGTTTCAATTTTTCTCACAACATCCATGCCTTCTTTTACATAGCCAAAAGCTACATGCTTCAAATTTAAATGCTTGGTTTCCTTTAGAGTAATAAAGAACTGTGAATTATTGGTATTTGGGCCCCTATTTGCCATGGACAACAAACCAGGACAAGAGTGCTGTATAATGAAGGTTTCATCTTCAAACATTTCTCCATAAATAGACTTCCCACCAGATCCATCAAACTTTGTGATGTCACCACCCTGAAAGGGAATGAAATTCATGTTACACAAAACATTACAAAGCCAGTCTTCACCCAAATCTTAAGCCTCACCCAGTTAGCATTCAAGTGTATTTTTTACTGTTTTCTCATTTTAACTGTTGCATTCTCATTGCTGCTTAATAACTTTACTTAAAGAACACTACTTCTGAATCATTTAAAATATCAGCCACTCTTTGGCTTTTTACAAAACTCTAACTTTAAATTAGTAAGAGCATGAACTGAAAATAAACTAGCTAGTTGGAAAGTCTGATATTTAGTTGAAAATGTTACTGTATCAAGAAGGAAACTGAAGGAAGGGTATCATCCTCTAACTGGGAAAGCAATCAATGTTTTAGATTGTGAAGTTGAATGGCCGATGTGCTAGAAATGTTCTAGGAATCCAACTAGTTGCAATATTTTTGGAAACAATGCAATGCAGTCGGATACAATGATTAAATGGAAGTCCCCATGGCGCACATTTCTCAAATATTTGTCTCAAAATATAAGCTTGCATACCAACTGGGAGAGGTGGGGTGTTTGAATTAGTAATCCGGAATCCCAGCCTAACGTTCTAATGAGATTTGAATCCCACTGTGGCAGATGGTGAAATCTGAATTCAATTAAAAAGTGAATAAAAAGCTAGCCTTATTGGCGACCGTGTAATCACTGTCAATGATTGCAAGAACCTCTGGCTAGGGGCCCTCCGAGGCGCCTGGGTTCAAGTCCCACCTGCACCAGAGATATATAATAACAGCATCTCTGAATAGGTTGCTTCGAAAAGTAGGTTAAATAAAAACCAGCTGTTCACTAATATCCTTCAAGCCATCCTTACCTTGCCTGGCTTACATACAACTCCAGACACACAACAATGTATTTGACTCCTGACTGCCCTCTGGGTCATTAGGATAGATTCTGCCTTAGTAAACAAAACCCACAAGCCATGAACAAATAAAAAATGTTCAAGTGTTAGACAATAAGATATAGGAGCAGAATTAGGCTGAACGGCCCATCAAGTTTGTTCCTTCATTCTGTCACAGCAGATACGATTCTCAACCACATTTTCCTGTCTTCTCCCTTTAACGTTTGCTCCCCTAATAAGCAAGAACCTATCTTACATACACTCTTTGATTTGGCCTCCACACACTTGAGGAAAAATTCACATACCCTCTGGCTGAAGAAATTCCTCATTTCAGTTCTAAAAAGGCTGTGCCCTCAGGTTCTGGTTTCTCCTACTTGTCCACATCCACTTTATCCAGGCTTATCAGCATTCTGAAAGTTTCAATGAGATCCCCCTCATCCTTCTAAACTCTGTTGAGTACAGACCCAGAATTCTAAACCACTCCTCATATGACAAGCCCTACATCCCAGGGACCATTTTTGTAAACTTCTTCTGGACCTGCACCAAAGCCAGTACATGCTTCCTTAGATACAGGTCCCTGAACTTCTCTCAAAATTCCAAATGCAGTCTGACCAGAGTCTTATACAGCTTCAGATGTACATTGTATTCTAGTCCTTGCAAAACGAATGCTAACATTGCATCTGCCTGCCTAACTGCCAACTGAACCTGCATGTTAACCTTAAGAGAATCCTGAACTAAGAGTCCCAAGTCCGTGTGCTTCAGATTTCCAAAGCCTTTCTGGCATTTAGAAAATAGTCTAGACCTCTTTTCCTACTAAAATGCACAACCTCACACTTTCCCACACCGTATTCCACCTGCCATTTCATTGCCCTCTCTCCTAGCTTGTCCAAATCCTTCTGCAGCCTCCCCACCTCCTCAACACTATGTCCCTCCACCTCTGTCTCATCTGCAAACACAGCAACAGTGCCCCAAGTTCCTTCGTCCAGATCATTAATGTATAATGTGAATAGTTCTAGTCCCCACACTGACTATTGTGGAACTGCACTAGTCACCAGGTGCTATCTTGAAAAGGATTCCTCTATTCCTACTTCTTCTGCCAGGCAGCCAATCCTCTATCCTTACCTCTAACACCACATGCTTTTATCTTATTTAGCAGCCTCCTATGTGGCATCTTATCAAAAACCTTCTAGAAATTCAAATCGATCACATCCACTACCTCTCTTGTCCAACTTGCTCGTCACTTCCTCAAAGGATTCTAACTGATCTGTCAGGGATGTCCTCCCCTTGATAAAGCCGTGCTAACTCAGCCCTATTTTACCATGCGCTTCCAGTTGCTCAGCAATCTGATCATTAATAATGGATTCTAAAATGTTACCAACAATTGAGATCAGGCTAACCAGCTTCTAGAGTCATAGAGACGTACAGCACAGAAACAAACCCTTCGGTCCAACTTGTCCATGCCGACCAGATATCCTAGATTAATCTACACCCATTTGCCAGCATTTGACCCACATCCCTCTAAACCCTTTCTATTCATGTACCCATCCATGTGCCTTTTAAAATGTTGGAATTGTACCAGCCTTCACCATTTCCACTGGCCGCTCATTCCATACAGGCACCACCCTCTGCATGAAAAAGTTGTCCCTTAGGTCCATTTCTAATCTTTCCCCTCTCATCTTAAACCTCTGTCCTCTAGTTTCTGACTCCCCACCCCTGGGAAAAGACCTTGTCTATTTACCCTATCCATGCCCCTCATGATTTTATAAACCTCTATAATGTCACCCCTCAGCCTTCAACAATCCAGGGAAAACAGCCCCAGCCTATTCAGCCTCTCCCTTCAGCTCAAACCCTCCAACCCTGGCAACATCCTTGTAAATCTTTTCTGAACCCTTTCAAGTCTCACAACATCCTTCATATAGCAGGGTGACCAGAAATGCACACATTATTCTGAAAGTGGCCTAACCAATGTCCTGTACAGCCGCAACATGACCTCAACTCCTATTCTCAATGCACTGTTCAATAAAGGCAAGCATACCAAATGCCTTCTTCACTGGACTGTCTACCTGCGACTCCACTTACAAGGAACTATGAACCAGTATTTTGATTTCCCCCCAACTTTGTAAGCAGGGGTGTTACATTAGCCATTTTCCAGTCCTTTCTGACCCTCCTTGATTCCAGTGATTCCTGAAAGATCACCAATGCCTCCACAATCTCGTCAGCTATCTTCATCAGAACCCTGGGGTTTTAGTCCATCCAGTCTTGGTGATTATCCACCTTCCCTAGCACCTTCTCCTCAATGATGGCCACACAACTCACCTGTCCCCTGACGCTGCATGGCACAGCAATGAAACAAGGAAGAGAAGGCAGTAGCAAATTAAAGTTACTGTAATTGTCACAGAAGGGCAGAATAATGCAGTGCACAAGCAAGGGAGATGGAAGTAGTGAGGACAGAGCAGTCACTTATCCCTCTCCCCAGAATGCTTTCTGACACTTATTCACTGATTTAGCTTTGAAATCAATGCCAGGGTGAGACTGGCTAAATGTCAGAAAATCTTAGAACCTCAGCATTCTGGGTGAAAATTCATTTTTAATGGTGCAATCAGTACTAATTACTGTCAATCAACCTACCTGGCTGAGAAATGAAACTTTAATTTTACAATGTCTCAACACTGTTAAATTCAGTGTTGGTGATTTTAAGCAAGTGTACTACTTTTCTTATTACTATATTAATTCCATATTTCTTAGCCAATCTTTTCTGTTTTCTTCTATATGATTTAACCCGATATAGAATTTCTGGTTCGGGTTCCACATATTTCAAAAGATTCTTCAATTTGATTGCTGTACCTCCTTCTATTCAGACACGAAAACGCTACTTCTGGTACCGTGTTAGGTCACACAGCAGGCGTGACATTCTGCACTGAGGCCTACAAAAAGTCTGAGTGCAACTGTCAACGTAGTTAACAAGGAGTACCTTACGCCCTGACTTCAAAATCCAGGCCACCTTTTATTCAACCAAGAATTACTGCCTTGTGCAAATTGGCTTTTGCACTTTCTGCATCACTTGAAGGAGGGGCAGTTAAGTGTCAAAGTGAAGTTTACTATTGATAAATGAGGTGATGCATTTCCTTAGAAAAACAGAAACATTACCTGTACCTTAGAAAATGAAACTGAATGGAATAGAATAGATTAGGGATAGCAAAATCATTAAAAATGGCATAGCAGATCAACAATATAAATAAAATATAACAAAGTACAGTAAAAGGAATTATTTCTATGGCTGTAGAATTCAAAAGCAGAGAACAAGTTTATGTAGGCCCTGATCAGGATGCACACAGTATTTTGCATAAGTCCTAATTCCACACAACAGAAAGGACATAGAAGCACTGGAGAAAGTGCAAAAAACCCAAAAAGATTACAAGAGTGATACAGAACTATCAGGAAATATTGAACAGGTTGGAATATTTGTTTACAAAATAAAAAACACTTTGATAAACAGAAGAATTTGAAAATGAATAAGTTGGACAGGATAGCCACGGCAACAATGTTTCCACTTATGGGAAACTTAAACTTGGGAGCCATGAATCCAACAAAACTAATACATAGAGTAGGTAAAGAGACATTTCTCCAGTCAGAGTACTCAGAACAAGAGACTTAAAGCCACAATCAGCTGTTGAGACAAATAGCTTGGATGTTTTCATAAAGAAGCTACAAAAGAGAAGTGTATGTTATGGCAATGAGGTGGATAAAAGTCATTAAAAAGTTTGATCATTCATAATCATATTGAATGGGCTGGCAGGCCTATTACTGTTCCTATGAATAGAAAAAATGCTTAAAGACTGGAATGAGGTAGATAGAATGGGAAGTGATGTGTAGAAACTCTAAAGCAAAAGTAAAGCTGCCAGAGTCCCAGAGGACCACAGAGCTGCTCTTCTGTTAGATGACTGGTGGTGATTTAACACAAGAGTCATGACACCTCAGCCAAGGGGAAAGGTAGAGAAGGAGGGACCTTTATGATTACCTGAGCCTGTAAGGGAATGGAACCCATGCTGTTGGTGTCACTTTGCATCACAAACATCCATCCAATTAAGCTAACTGATTTCCCCACAGGTAGCAACAAAAATAACTGACCCAAAATACCTGTTCTGTGCTGTATGCTTGACAAGTCCTTGGGTGACTTGTGATAACTTGCACTGTAAAGTCAACTTCACTTGGAACCAACATTTGCCTCTCTGCAACAGCAGGCACTATGAATCCATGATTCATATCAGTGCTATATTCTAATCTGCAATTTACTACACCCCCCAGCCACCTTTTAACACAAGCAGCAATATATTGGCATACATTTTATGCTACAGCTACAAACGTCATAACATCTTCCAAAGTAAAAAGCGATGCACTAAAACAAGTGCACAAAAGAAGCAAATAATCACCTGGCAAACAAATTCTGGAATAACCCTGTGGAATGTTGAATTTTTAAATCCAAAACCACGCTCTCCAGTGCAGAGGGCCCTAAAGTTTTCAGCTGTTCGTGGAACCTTATTTGATAGCAGTTCCATGGTAATTCGTCCCAAGCTCTCCTCATTGGCTGATACATCAAAATAAACAACAGGGTTACTGCTATTTGACAGAGCTACAACTTGGAATTCCTCAGATTTCTGGAGTTGCGAAAGTGAATCTCGACATTCTTCAAACTTCTTTTTGTAGGCAGCAGCCAATTCTGGAGTTTTGAATCGTACTGCAAGTTGCTCAATTTTTGCTTCGCCATCTGAAAAAATACAAATAGGAATATGCAATTTATACTTTTCTAACAACTCAGCAAACAATTACAAAACAGTTTTTCATGACTTTTCCACCGACGTCCGAACGATGTAAAGATTATGCAGAGTACAAGACATTTTTCACTCAGTAGCAATCACAACTGACCTTTCCCCCCGCCGACATAAACTGTACACAATATAATGCAGGTCCAAATCTTACCAGTGTAGTCAGCTGCAGTCCAAACAAAGGCATTGTTCGATGTATTCATTTGTTTGAGTTCCATTTCCTCAGTAATAACATGATTCGCACAGACCTTAAGAACCTGTTCTCGCCTCATCAGAATACGGTAACATCGCTTTTGGGAGTGATACAGAATTTTAAGATCTCCAACTCCACGTTCTTTCCATTGAGAGATATCACGGTCCCAACGATACAGCTTACATCTTTCTTTAAAGATGATTTCCTCATCCTCTTCGCCTGATTTTGTCTCAACCTAGTGACATTAATTGCATTTGTTCATATTACAGAATTAACATTTGAACTTCAACAGCAGTCAACTTTTATAAGATTTCTATACTTCAAAACAAGTATACATTGGCCAGTACCGCATCACAATATTAGCTACCAAACTAAATTCTAGGCAACAAAGATCAAACTACTTAAAGATTAGATGGATATAAAAGATAATTAGACAATCAAGTTTGAAATTACAGTCAAAAAGGCTTCTGTATATTTGTACAAATTGTTGGACAGTAAATTTACCTCAGGTAAAGAAACTATTGGCTCAAAGTGGATGTCATTGCTAGGTACCACATCAGTGCCATCATCTTCATCATATGGAGTTCTGGGCACCATCGAAGTAAACACAGCAGTTCCTGCATTTGCCCATGTGAAATTGGCTTCTGTTTTTTAAAAACATGTCACATTTTTCAGTATTAGAAAGAAAACAGCATTGGTTTATCACTCCCAGCAGCTCACTGGGAATTTTTGCAGATTTTAAAAGCACATTGTCAAAAATTACTAAAAAGAATATTTTTAAACATAAAACACAAAAAAGCCATTAACAAGATGAAGTACGATGAAACTCAGCATATATGTAGCAGTACAAATTGTCAAGAAAACATCCAGACTGTGAACAGCTATTCATTTTTTAAAGGCTAAATTCCATTTAAACGTTTGTTACTGAATTGAAAAATAGGAGAACTATGTAAAAAAACTTTATTTAAAAAGATATATAATTTGCTTTCATTATTCGTCAAGAAACCTGAAAACTGTTGACATTTGTAAGTTAAGTTAAATGGTTCAGAAACTGGTTTTATTCAGTAAAAAAATTCACTTTGTTCATTCTAAATAAAGTAAATATTTCAGTCAACAATCAACTTGAGAAGGATACGTTTATGTAGACAAGACCAAGGATTTACAAGTCAATAGGCTCCAGTGGCATTAATTTCAAATTGAAGTGATTAAAAATGTTTTGTCTACAATTTAAATTTTCTGTTTTCACACTTTACTCTTGCAGCTCACTCAGGTAGTAGCAGCTAGTAGACAACAATCTGATAGCTTCATGGTTTCTTCTACAATAAATACTATTATTTCTAAATTTTGAAGTTACATTTCAAACTGCTATTATGGGACTTATGTTTTGTTATTGGGGAGCACACCACAGATGAGCAAATATATAGACTGCACACAAGCATAGCAGCACCAATGCAGCAAAATTTAAAAGAAGAACAAAACTTCTGGAAATATTCAATAGGTCATGAAGTATTGGTAAAGAGAAACAGGCTGATCACAGTTCTATTTCTAGAATTTATTATTTTTTTCCATGCAATCTGTGGCAAGCCAATTGATCAACCCATTATACTACAGAGGTCATTAATAACTTACTCTCACAATGGCTAAAAACAATCAATAAGGGCCAGATCAGCAAGGCACAGCTCAACTCAAGACAACAAGAGACAGAGAAGCAGGACTCTCTGCTTAAAAAGGGGAAATTGTAGCAACAGTCCAAGTTGTGCTCTAGTACCTCCTAAAACTCAGGTACAGAACAGGATAGCCCACCCAGCAGAGAATTGATTTGGCATGACTGACTGATTATCTGGTTAACAACTGTCAGGAAGTTAAACTATATCACAAAGAGAAATTTATTTTTTTGAAAACCCAATGTTGGACCTTGTGCATCCTTGATGGACAAAGTTTAAATCCAAAAATACATTGTACGTTCATAGTCATCAAGCAACAAGTCAGATGCTACCTTTTGGTGGAAAGGCATATCCTTCTGTACTCTGAGCAGCCAAATCTGCAAAAGAAACTGTTTTCACGTCACCGAATCCAAATATGCCGTTCACTGGAAGATAGAAAACATTGTATAAGAGAACAGAAATCCATTAGAAGTGCTTCATAATCTGGATTAAAAACAAAACAGGCATTTTTTTCATGAGGTTTGCCATTAAACAATGTCAAGAGTAATAACAGTCTCAAAGAGGCATGATATTTCACTGTAAATTTGGACAACTTAAATCATGTATTTTTTTGAAATTATTTAAAGGCGTATGGACGTGATTTCATATATAGAGCAACTTGCAAGTGAATCCACTTAAAATTAGTTCTTAAAATAGGTGCCATAGTCACCTTCAGAACAACAATATTAATCAATTCCATTATTCCTCTGTAGGATGTGATGAACTATATTTTAATGTGGACCTTTGTTTGAATCTCGTTCAAGATGCTAAGGAAATAAACGTTTTTCTCTGCTTACTTTAGTCGGAGACTTTTCGTAATTATAATGGCAATTTTAAAATCAGTGCTATATATAAATAGGTAAAATAGGTAAGAGTGGACATGGACCACTGGAAAAATGAGACTGGGAGAAGTAGTCATAGGGAAGAAAGAAACGGCAGAAGAAATAAATAGGTACTCCATGGTGGGAGACATCAGCAGCATAACAAAACTTCAAGACAGTAACTTCAAGAGAGCTGGGGCAGAGGTGAGTGTACCACCCATCACTAAGGTGGTGCTGGGGACGTTGGAAGGTCTAAAAGGTGGAGAAGTCACCCAGACCAGATGGACCACATTCTCCGGTTCTGAAGGAAACAGCGGAGGAGATTCTGAAAGCATTAGTGGTGATCTTTCAGGAAATCGCTGGAGTCAAGGTGGGTGCCAATGGAAAATGGCTAATGTAACACCCCTGTGTTTAAGAAGGGAGGGAGACAGAAGACAGGTAATTATAGGCCAATTAGCCTGACCTCAGTCATTGATAAGACAACTATTAAGGATGAGAATGAGGCAAACTTGAAACTGCATGGTAAAATAGGGCTGTCTTAGCGTGACTTCGTCACAGGGAGGTCATGCCTGACAAATCTTTTAGAATTCTTTGAGGAGGTAATGAGCAGCTTAGACAAAGGACAGCCAGTGAATGCTGTTTATTTGAATTTCCAGAAGGCCTCTGACAAGGTGCTGCACAAGAAGCTGCTAAATAAGAGCCCCTGGTGTTAGTGGCAAGGATAGACGATTGGTGACTGAAGGCAGAGAGTGGGGATAAAGGGGTCTTTTTCAGGACGGCAGCTGGTGACTAACAGACTTCAGTAAGGGTCAGTGTTGGGACCACAACTATTCACGTGATTCATTAATGATCTGGACGGAGGAACTGAGGGCATTGTTGTTAAGTTTATAGATGACACAAAGATGGGTGGAGGGATAAGTAGTGTTGAGGAGGTGGGGAGGCAGCAGAAGAACTTGGACAGGCTAGGAATGTGGGCAAAGAAATGGCTGATGAAATATCAGGTGGGAAAGTGAGGGGCTATGCACTTTGGTAGAAAGAAGAGGGATAGATTGTTTACTAAATGGGAAAATGCTTCAAAAATCTGAAGCGCAGAGAGAGAGGGTGGTTTGTGTGTGGAATGAACTTCCTGATGAAGTGGTGGATGTATGTACAATTACAACGTTTAAAAGACATATCCATGCAAATATGAATAGGAAAGGTTTGGAGGGATATGGGCCAGGAGCAGGCAGGTGGGACTAGTTTAGTTTGGGATTAGTTTGGCATGGACCAAAGGGTCTGTTTCTGTGCTGTACAACTCTGATTCTATGACTCGGCAGTCCTTGTGCAGGATTCTCTTAAGGTTAACATGCAGGTTCAGTTGGCAGTTAGGCAGGCACGTGCATTGTTAGCAGTCGTCTTGACACTGCTAGAATACAAGAGCAGGAATGTACATCTGACACTGTATAAGGCTCTGATCAGACCACATTTGGAATATTGTGAACAGTTTTGGGCCCCCTAAGGATGAATGTACTAGCCTTGCTATATATTTGACAAAAGTGCTGTGCACAGCAAAAGGAATTGAAAGACGCTGTTCAATAAAATGAATGCAACATTACCTGTTCAATAACGTTTGATTTGTATTTTTTTTTAAACAAAACCGTAGAAGATTGAATATGCAACATCTCAGTCCCTGACAGCCACTTGAAAATTTCAAAAGTTGTGATGATATAGGAATTGCAATGTTTGTGAAATTTCTGAGCTGGCTTCAATCCAAGCATATTGACATTTAAACTGTAACTGGTACACTATATGCACTCTGAAACAAATGTACAATTATAGCAAGGCCTCTCCTACTTTTATGCTCTATGTCCCTTGCAAAAGGTCAACATCCGTTTGCATCCGGAATTAGTTGCTGCACTTGCATGCTAGGAGTGACCAAACAGTTCTTGAACGAGTGCAACTCCAACACCACAAGAAGCTTAACTCCATCCAAAGCCAAACAGCCCATTTGATTGGCATCAGATCCAAAGATGGGTTTTAACTGTAATCAATGTCCTTTAGGGAAGGAAATCTGCTACGCTTGGACCTCCAGGCCCACATTAATGTGGACAGGTGTGAGACTTGGTAGGAAGAGAGAGAGAATAATGTGACAGTGCAAGAGACAGTGAGAGAAAGGAGGAAGTGTGTGTAAAGGCGAGGCAGAATGCAAGAGCAAGACAGAGTGTGAAATGAGCAAGCGTAAATTCTGAGAATTGAGTTGAGCTGTCAAAACCCTGCATGAAAAACTATCATACAGAAGCTAGCACAGGAGGAACACCCAAGCTTGTCCCCAGTTTATGCATGAAATTCTGCGACATCAGTTCAGGACGTAAGCCAGAGGTCAGTGTCAGTTAAACCCAACACCTTAGATTGGCACCAGTTCCTTCACCATTCCTCAGTGGTGAGAACTTGGGACTTAATTGGTCTCTCACTGTAACAAGATTTTATTATGGCCACTTTTGTTATTTGCTAATTTTTTTAAATTTTTAACTCACTTGGGCTTGTGTTCAAAAAATCTGAAAAGGGCCTTAAACCCTTTATTAAAAACAAGCTTCACAAATTCCTTTGAAGAAGTTATCCATCCCCAAATGTCCAACACATACTGCAATCTTTTGAATTTAGGAATGACTCCAAGTTACGATGCTCAACTGGTTGAATTTTCATAACTATTTCACCTTTCATTCCTGTCCTGGTGCCTTCCTTTTCAAAAATCTGAAGAATCATTGTACTTTTACCAACATTATCCCCAATGGGAATATCTCCACAAATATTCTTGCTAACACGCATCCCCTTTTAGTACCTTCAGTAGTAGAATCAGGCTCCATTTCATTTTTAGTTGTTAAATCAATGGGCCTGCCATCATCTGCAGAGAATTCCTTACGTTCAAATTGTGTTGTAGAGTTAGCTTCAGCCTCTGAAACATTAACCAGTGCAGTAGTCGCTGGTTCATTCAATCGGATTGCAGAATCTATACAAGTGGAGCTGCTGATGATTTCTTCTTGCGCTATCTGTAACAAAAACAAATTGCCACATCCCAGTTAACTGCAATAAAAACAAATGGTCCAAAAATGACATATGTTAAAATGAACTAAATGCCCTTTTATCTAATCAACCACTTACCCAACTTCCATTTGATAATAGTAATATATCGATTTAGAGACAGTAAGAGTATTTGTTTTAGATCGAACAAGAGCATGCTAATCCATTTTAAAATTAAATAGCATAAAAGTAAATAGCAACTAATAAAGCCCCGGTGCAAAATGAAACCCAACTCCAGGAGTAGCAAGTTACATCACTTGCTAATTTCCAATCAGCAAATATTTAAGGCATTAGAATGGTGAGCTTTTATTTTGCTTCATGGTAAGTATCAATGTCCACTTTCAAAGGAGGAACAATTTTTGTGACAAATTGGGGCAATACCAGAATATTCTCATTAGGAAGAGTGATTGTGTTGCAAAAATAGTGCGCTGGATGAAGGACATTACCTGTATCTTTGACTCTACTGGTTATATAAAGATATTTTTAAATCTTACCTGTGATTCCTTGATTTTGCGAACTTCAATTTCAAAGTCATCATCTTCCTTCTCTCCTTCAGTATCACTGCTTAAACCACAAAAAAATGTGGAAGGAAGCAACAACTTTTCAGCCTTCAACTTCTCTTTAGGGGTCGGCACCTTCTCCCACACAAGAATACAGTCTTTGTCACCATCTTCCACTAGATTGTCCCCACTGGAATCTACTATGAAAAGTATAAGGTTATAAAAAGGATACTAGGAAGAAGAAAAGTTGCCCAAAAGCTTTAAAAAAAGGTTTCAGCACCAGGTGCAGCTCAATAACAACCGAACTGTCAGTCTCCTGTTCCTGCTGGGAACTAGTTATCCCAAAGGACTAATAGCGGTCTTGCTTGGGATGCCACAAAAACGTGAATTCCATAATATTGCAATATTATTCACACATTAACTTATCCAATCAATCCTTCAAGCACAGAAATGATTGCCGACATTCATCAAAGCAATTTGAAAAGTCAGGAAACAAGACACTTCAGGTTTGTACCAATAAGCACAAACTACATGGCAGCCATACTTAAAATGCATTGGTAAAGTTTGGAATGAACTATCCAGAAGGATGAGTGGTGTTATGCTAGAAGGAATAGAAGTGACAAAACTAGTCTCGAATACTTTCACGGATTACTTTGATATGTTTGGAAGAGTTAAATTATAGTACGGAGTATGGTTCCCATGCAATTTAGTTTGTAGTTTTAAAACAAAGAACAATACAGTACAGCAACAGACCCTTCAGCCCTCCAAGCCTGCGCTGACACATTTTGCCTTTCCTTACTAAAACGGTCTTCCAGGATGCATATCTCTCTATTCCCTGCCTATTCATGTATTTGTCCAGGTACTTTTCGAATGCTGCTATTGTGTCTGCATCTAACTCCTCTGGCAATGGTTTCCAGGCACTCTCCACCATTTGTGTGAAAAACTTGCCTTGCGCATGTCTTTTAAACTTCACCTTCCTCACAACTTGAACCTATGTCCCCTATTAATTCCACCCTGGGAAAATGCCTCGTACTTTCCACTCTATCCATGCCATTTTGCTATTAGGTTGCCCCTCAACCTCCTGCATTACAAACTCAGTCTATCCAGGGATAGTAAGAACCGCCGATGCTGGAGTCGGAGATAACACAGTGTGGAGAAGAAGGTTCTGAAGAAGGGTCCCGACCTGAAATGTCAGCTTTCCTGCTCTCTGATGCTGCCTGGCCTGCTGTGTTCCTCCACTCCACACTGCGTTATCTCAGTCTATCCAGCCTTTCTTCACAGCTAAAATCCACCATACCAGGCAACATCCTAGTAAACCTTTTCTGTACCCTCTCCAAAGCATCCATATCCTTCTGGTAGTGTGGTGACCGGAACTATATGCAATATTCCAAATGTGGCCTAATTAAAGTTCATCATAGAATCCCTACAGTGTGGAAACAGGCCCTTTGGCCCATCAAGTCCACACCGAACCTCCAAGCATCCCACCCAGACCCATCCCCCTATAACCCACCTAATCTACACATCCCTGAACACTACGGGCAATTTAGCATGGCCAACCCACCTAACCTGCACATCTTTGGACTGTGGGAGGAAACCGGAGCACCTGGAGGAAACCCACGCACACACGGGGAGAATGTGCAAACTCCACACAGACAGTCGCCCGAGGCTGGGATCGAACCCGGGTCCCTGGCACTGTGAGGCAGCAGTGCTAACCACTGTACTGCCCCCTCTGGGACCTCACCTGTGGCCAAACAGGATACAAAGATGTTGATCAATGCTCCAGCAATTTGTTCTCTTGCCTCCCTCAATATTCTGGAATAGATCCCATCAGGACCCAGGGCCTTATCTACCTTAATACTTTTTGAGACACATTTAAAACTTTTTAATAGCAACTTGGCTTTGAAATTCGACACTCCCTTCCCGGAGACAATCCCCCACCAATTTCTTCACTTTGCTGAATACCAACACAGTATTCATTAGGACCTCACCTACCTCTTCGGGCTCCACACATAGATTCCCTCCTATGTCCTTGAGTGGGTCAACACTTTCCCTGGCTATCCTCTTGCTTTTTATTTCTGTACAAATAGCTTTGGGATTCTCCTTAATCCTGTTTGCTAACAACTTTGCATAACCCCTTTTAGCCCTTCTAAATCCTTGTTTAAGTTCTTTCCTTGTATACTTCAAGGGCTTCATCAGTTCCCTTCCTCCTGGATCTTACGTTTGCTTCCTTTTCCTTTCTCACCAAGGTCATAACATTCCTGTCATCCAAGATTCACGTAACTTGCCATACCTATCCTTCATTCTCGCTGGAATATGCTGCTCCAGAACTCTTATCAATTGACATTTGAATTACTCCCACATCTGATGGGGATTTACCCTTAAACAACCGCCTCGAATCAAAATTCTCCAGTTCCTGCATAATTATTGTTGTAATTCGCCTTCCCCCAATCTAACCCCTTCACCTGGTACTTCTCAGTAAGATGAAGGTTTCTGCCTTCATCACCAAACAGGCAGCAAACTGCACTGTAGCAGTTCGGAGGTTTGTTCGGATGACCGATGGAGGGACTGTCTTATGAGCAAAGATTGGGACTTTACTCACTGGAGTTTAGAAGAACGAGAGATGATCTCAATAAAACTTATAGGACTCTTATGGGGCTGTTATCCCTATCCATGAGTATCTTAAAACTCACGGTATTATGGTCACTACTCCTGAAATGCTCCCCTACTGAAACTTCACTCACCTGGCCAGGCTCATTTTCCAAAACCAGGTCCAGTATAACCCCTTCCCTATTTGGGCTGTTTACATATTGTGTCTAGAAATCCTCCTGAATGGTCCTTACAACTTCTGACCCATTCAAGCCCCTGGCACGAAGTGAGTCCCAGTCAACATAAGGGAAGTGAAAACCACCCACCACAACAACCCTGCTTTACTGTTTACATCTTTCCAAAATCTGCCTACATATTCTCTCCTCTATCTGCTGTTCGGAAGCCTGTAGTATACCCCCAGCATTGTGATTTCACCCTTCCTATTGCCTCGCTGCACAAGTCCTCTGACGTATCCTCCCTCAATACAGCTGTGAGATACTCCTTTCAGAGTATACATCGCCCCCACCCTTTTTATCACACCTGAAACACCTAAAACCTGGGATATTCAGCTGCCAGTCCTGTCCTCTTTCAGCCAAGACTCTGTAATCACAATAATGTCATCATTCCAAATACTCAAAGCTCTAAGTTCATCAACTTTGCCTATTGTACTTCTTGCATTCTTACACATGCCATACAGACCACCTCCCCTGCTCTTCTCAGCAGCATTTGCCTGCCTGTTCTCGTTCTTAGTAGTGTTTGACTTGGTTTCTGCCTCTCCCTCAATTTCTGCAACTACTCCTCTGGTTCCCATTTGGTTTACTAATACCAGATAAACAATTGTTAAGTAAAATATGGGGTACAATGGTGGGAAGGAGAGAACATAAATGCACTAATCATTCAGTTGGGAGCACAGTGAAAAAGTACAGACTGGAAACTACTTTGGATAAATTCCAGCCCCTTGAATGAAACAAAATGGAAAAAAAACTTCATTATCCCTTCATGTAATGTTTATCTCTGTTATGCACAATTTTGAAACATATATCCTTTCTTCAAAATGGAATGGTCATATCACATGCAATGCTATATCTACTTGCACTTTTGATCCTGATTACAAAGTAGTCTTCAATCTATTTCAGGCGACAGGTCTCTTCTATAAAAGTTATAATTAGCAGCTGTTATGCAGCTTTGGACAATTTCAGATATACGAAAACCAGATGATCCATTTATGAACACGCCAAAGATTAAAGATCAATGGAGCCACCAACTTGCAGTCATCCACAAATCATGCAATTCAATTTGTAGGTACCAAAAACTTCTGGACAACTTCAAAATTTTAAACCTTTTAATATGCATACCTGTTGCACAGGACTTGTGCTCTCTTTGTTCATCTGGATACAGCTTCACATCAGTAAGTTGCAAGGATGTACCTTGATTTGGAAAATAATGGATGTTAAAAGAATTTGACACGAAATTACAATAAAATCCTCTATATGTAACAGTTTCTATTTCAGAGTCTTGCTGCCATGATTTACATTGTATCCAGATTATCAAGAAAGTGTACCAATATTTCACCAAGTGTTTTTTTAAAATCAGTTTCTCACATCTTGTCTTAAATAATCACAATTAAAGTGAAATTATTTTGGTTTCAAAATTAATACTTAGATTGAAAATGTACCTGCATCAGAGAAGTCTTCTAGTTCATTAGAATGTAACTGTTCCTTTGGGTCACCTGGATCAAAACATTTAACAGTTCTGAAGATGTCACTGAGTATAACAAGACTCCGAAATTAAACCGCCAAAAGATTAAATTTGCAAAGATTGTCTCTACAATTTAAAATCTGTACCTGTTTTAGGTGCTTTCAGTTTCTCTTGTTTATCTTGATACAATCTTCCACAGAGTTCCCTAACAGCAGTTTCATAGTCTTCATCTTAAACAGAAATTTTAATTTGACATTTGTTATTAAGGATTCAAGTACAAAAACAGCTTGCTAGCTAGATTAGTATTTGTGATTTTACTGTTAAATTTTGTTCTGTCCCTCAAAATTTCAACCACAATTCCACAGATCAGAATACAATGATGTGATTGGTAAGACCATTAATGGATACATAAATAAACCAAATAATTTAATTCTCTGTTGCGTGGGGAACTACAAGGCAAATAGCATGTGACACGCTCGGAGTGAGAATCACAGAAGCATTAAAAAACCAAGGCACAGAAAGTGGCCATTCAATTCATTGTGTGTTGTCAGCTGAAAAATAAGGGAAAAACTGAGCTGCCCTTTCTAATTCCAAATCCAACACAGTATTGCAAGCATTGTGGATCATTGCAGTTCTAATGCAGATCCTGGTACTTCTCAGTAAGATGAAGGTTTCTGCCTTCATCACCAAACAGGCAGCAAACTGCACTGTAGCAGTTTGGAGGTTTGTTCGGATGACCGATGGAGGGACTGTCTTACGAGCAAAGATTGGGACTTTACTCACTGGAGTTTAGAAGAATGAGAGATGATCTCAATAAAACTTATAGGACTCTTATGGGGCTTGACAGGGTAAATGCCAAGAGGATGTTTTCCCTCATGGGACAATCAAGGACCAGAGGGGCAGAGTCTCGATAAAGGGGCATCAATTTAAGACAGGAGGAGATATCTCTTTTCTTAGGAAGTTGAGTGTCTTTGGAACTCCTTGTCACAGTCAGCAATACAGACAGAGTCCTTTAGTGTACTTAAGGCTGGGATAGATTCTTGATAAGTAGGGCAAATCAAGGGTTATGGGGAAAAGGCAGGAAATTGGATGAGGAATGTTGGATCAGGCGTGATCCTAATTAATGGTGGAGCAGACCTGAGGGGCTGAATAACCTACCCCTGTTCCTTTTCTTTATTGTTCTTATGGAATTCCAGTGAGCCACTACCCTCAGAATAGACTTTTAAATCATGTCCCATTTAACCCTTCTATAAATCACAATATATGCGCTCCCTGGTAATTCACCTCTCCACAAGGACTTTCTACCCTATGCCCTTCAATTTTATGCACCTCAATTACATCACCTCTCAGCATCCTCTGTTCTAAGGAAAACAACCCTAGCCTGTCCGATCTTTCCTCATAGTTGCAATTTTGAAGCCCTGGTAACATTCTCCTAAATCATCTATGTACTCTCTCCACTGCAATTATATCCTTTTTTTGAAATGCAGTGGCTAAAACTATACACAGAATTCTAGCTGTTGTCTAACCTCTATTATATACAATTCTGGCATTATATTCTTGCTTTTGTATTCTATATCTCATCCAAGAAAGAAAGGCATTACATATGCTTTCTTTGCCATTTGACTTATCTGCTCAGGGACCTGAGGACCCGCAAGATCTGTCACAACTCCTTCACTTGTCAACACCCTCTTTTTGTATCGTATTCCATAGCTTTGTTTGTCCTCCCCAAATGCATTATCTCCCAAATCTCTGGATTGACTTCCATTTGCCAACTTGATGAAACCATTGATATCATTCTGGAGTTGACAGTTATCTTACTATCAATGGCATGGCAAAGTCTTGTCACCTGCAAATTTCCCAATCATGCCTCCTGCACTTAAGTCCAAATCATTAATATACACAAACAGGACACAACACTGGAATGCTGGTTGAAACGGCTTTCTATTTGCAAAAATCACTCATTGGATCAGTGACAGGAAACAAAGGCCAATTTCAGATCGAATTCTTCACTTTGTCTAGCAGCCCTTGCACTCTTTATAAACAATGGTACAATATTTGTAAACCTCTCAGTTCCCCGATATCTCACCTGTATCTACTGAGCATTGGAAAGTGTTCTCAGACTGCTATTCCCTCCCTGGATTTCCTGAACAGCCTAAGATTCAATCTATCCAGCTTCGTTAATTTATCCATCTTCAAAGAGGTCAGCTTTCCAGCACTTCCTTTCACATTAATTGTACCTAATATTTCACACTTCTCTTTAACTGGAATGTCTCCACCTTCCTACTACTTGAGAACACAGATGCAAAGTACTCATTATAAACCCAGTCGACATCTTTCACTTCCACACAGAAATAACCCTGTACAGCTCTTCTGGGTTCTACCCTTTCCTTAGTTAGCCACCTTGTATCTTTGAGTTTTCCTTGATTGTATGTGCCAATATTTTCTTCATATCCTCATTTTATATTTTCAATTTTTTTTAATTCACTCCTGCATTTTCTATATTCCTCCAGACTCGTAATAGTTATAGAGTGACTGACTGAAACATACTTGTTCTGCTTCATCTCACTGTGAACACTTTGGATAACCAGGGTGGTACTGCCAACTCCAGAGCGCACTCTGTGTTGATGTGCCTACACAATAGATTATTGCTTTTGAATGCCTCACAGTCATTTCTGACTTTTCTTCAAGTAGCTGTATCCAGTCTACTTTGGCCAGGATCATCTCAGTTTTAACAGGTCAGATTTTGCAAGGTGTTGCATTCCCGCCCTTTCTTTTTTTAAGAAAAAGGAAAGGAGGGAGCTCCGCTCTCCAGCTACCACGTGACAGCAAGTTTCTTCAGCTAGTGCAGGAATTGTCACACATCATCTCTAGGTCACTGATAGGGCCCACAATTTCCCACATATTCCAAGTTGTCCTGTCGCATCTTAATTTAAACAGAAGAGATTGAAAGAACTGATCATTTATTAGTTTGTACTAGTTGGGGTCCCCCAACTAGTTTTAAGGGGCCGTTTTAAGGAAAAAAACCTAATTGGTTCATTCTAAATAATCTTACGACTCGCAGTGCTAACCTTCCTTAAATTTCAGATACATAAATAAACTGCATGAAACACCAGTCAGTAACTTACCATCCTCATCGTCATCACTAAAATAACCAGGTTTGTTCTTGTAGCAGAAGAATGTTTGGGGAAGGTGTAGCTGCTTAGCAAGAGCTGCTTGTTCGGGTGTGGGTGTCAATACAAAAACAATCTGTACCTCTTCATCGCCAACTATAAAATAATCAATTGAGTAAATAGGCTTCTGCAAGCATAAGATATTTATGACAATGAGACTGCATCAAAAAGCATGAACTTTAATTTATATTGCAGAAGCCTCAACCTTCCACTTAAACCAATATATTCATCCATGTTCACTCACCTCAGCTTGTCTTAAAATAATTTCTGCACAGTTACTTTTTAATTCTACAACAACTGATTTAATCTCTTGCATTTATCAATAGAAGACTGTGCACGACATCTACAAATAGGATGAGTTTATCCAGAAGCAAACCATAATGGGAGTACTGAACTGCAAATGCAAAACAAAATTGAATTTAACGATTCAGAACATTAACTTAAACATAGGGTATAATGAGGTTATAACCAAATATTAGACAAAATCTTGAATTTATATAGCACCTTTAAAATCAAAAATCATTCCAAGCACTTTAGAGCTAAATTGGATTACATACAAGTTAGGACAGGTAAGCAAAGATATGGTTGAGTAGGTTGGTATAAAAGTCATTTCAAAAATGATAGCAATATGTAGGGGAGTGGGAAACGGGGCAGAAATAAAGGCAGAATAAACAAATGAAAGGAAGACAGCATGCTAAAATGTGGCCTGAAGTGATAGGATAAGACATGAGCAGATTAAGATACACATTAAAAATTAGTTCATTGCAAGTATGTGGTATGTTGGGATCCAGTGATGTGCAAGTCTGAGTAAGGTGAGGCATATTGTACCCTCTGCACAAATTCAGACACTGCACTTGATGAAAAACAACATGGGAACAAAGCGAGAAACTAAAGTGAAATCTATGAATTAAGACTTTGGCTTGGGTGAGAATGAAGCTAGCATTGGATAACATTCCTAAGATTGAAGAAAATGAGCCGATGAGAGGAAGGGGGAGAAACTTGAGTGACAGGAGACAAGCCAAGGACACAGTGGTCTTTGAAACTGCTCCATAGATGACATTAATATTGGAGACCAAGTCCACTAAGTTTCTTGCATGGGCTTTCAGAAGAGTCAGAGAAAAGAAAGATATTATTTGTTGAAATGCCAAAATGGAGATTGCTTCTACCATCCAGGATAATACAGGTGATTTTGCCTGGAAAGGTTATAATGAGTTGACATTACTTTGAGAGATAAAACAATGGGAGAGGGAAGAATGGGAGGTGGAGAGATTAAAATCACAAGCGATCAAGTCATAGGTATGTTAGCATTCATCTCCTTTAGGCTTCAGTGCAAATGCAGAAAGTGTTCTAGGAAAGCAGCTTATACTCCAATTTAAATTTTGTACCAGTTTGATTTACAGACATAAAACTGACCCGATCCACAGCACATTTCCATAACCAAACACCACTTGTTAATGTTTTGAAGTAGAATGAAAATTAAAAGCTGTTCGCGCTTTGGCTCAGTTCTCCAGTCTCACGCCAAAGTTAGTGTTGTAAGATAATGGCTTACTTAAACATCAATTTAATAGTTAAATAGCTTTGAAACAAACAATGTTATTTTGCTTGGTCACATGTCAGTAATGGTTCGTAGAAGGGAGAGTAGTATCATTTTGCTCCTGCAGGTTTTTCCAACAAAGTGACCATTAACTCCAAAACAATCTAAGACTAAAAACGTAATTTAAATAAACATATCAACTATAGTTTTCAAGCACAGTTTTCAAACCACTAAAAGTTACTCAACCAGATGCAATTCGTTTACTCCTAACAAACCATATGAACACTATGCTATATAGAACATAGGCAAAATAATGACTCCCCACTTCACATGGTTAAAACTGGCTGTGGATTTATCAGCCACGGCAGTTACTAATAAGAGTCAAAAAACAAGGTCCAGTCTTGATCCTTAATATTGGCTGAATTCAAAAAGAGAATTACAGATGCTGTAAATCAAACAAACAAAAGTTGCTGGAAAAATTCAGCAGGTCTAGCAGCATCTATGGAGAAAAAGCAGAAATAAAATTAATGTTTCAGGTCCTGTGACCCTTCTTCAGACTGTTAAGTTTTTTCCAGCAATTTCCGTTTTTGTTTCAATTTTAGTTTATTTGTGTAAACCATAAAAAGGTAAAACAAGCACTAAGTATTTTTTCAATACTGGAGCTATATTAGTTGTTAAGTTAAAATTGATCTGATATTTAGAATCAGATTAAAGATATTTGAATGGTTTAACTATGCAATGATTATTATTTCAGGCCTCATTATTACTACCAGAGCCTATCTCAGAAGGGTAAGGTTTCTCAAAGGTTTGAGCTAGTATGTAGTATCAATACAAATCGTGTTTGTCAATAATAAAATGACCATTAAATCAAAAAGACATTTAAACCTATTACACAAATAAGTAACATGGTGTATGAATTTGTGCACTGGTGTGATGTCAGGTACTTCAGGCTATACATTTCAAAGACTGGTGAATCATTTCATACAGGTCCCTTCAGCTATTTGCCACAAAGTATGACCATCTAACCAAACCATGCTTGCAAAACACACACTGGTGTTCAAATTTGATTCTGCAATTGGACAATATTTGCTGGATAGCCACGTGTATGAAGCTGACAGCCATTTAGACACATGGCCCTTTTCTGTTGGACAGAAACAACATATACACAACACTGTGCCTGTTTCAACTAAAAATAGACAACAGCCATTCACTGACTAAGGGCAATGCTCTGGTCAACTAGCCTGTTTTAACTATTAATAAAGTCTGGCTCTTGATTGACAATCATCATTCTCCATGGCAATGCAAGTAGAGTTCATTTGACAATTAACTAGTACCTCTGCTCTCATGTTGTATAAATGTTGATTTTTTTCCCTTAAATTTATATTCTTATGAAATGACCCGAGTGAGCGATGAAAACCTTTGACAAAGGGTGCCTTTTTTCAGCAATACTCAAGAACTTAAACTATTGATTTAAAACTGCTAACAGATTATTAAACATCTCAAATACTTTATTCTACGGGGTGTACGTTATAGCCCAAAGAGTGCAAGAAAATGGAGCAAATTTTGGAAAAGAATAAGTAAATCATGATAATGGAAGGCTACTGTAGACTAGCAAACAATGTAGAACAGGTAATAAATTCCTGTAATGCGCACAGGAAAACTTTCTTGGTCACTACATTTCCAGTGCAACAAGAGAAATGTGTCAGTGTACAGCATTTCGAAAACAGTGACCATAACAGCAATACATTAATTGTGACTTAGTAGTGGCACTTGTGGCTCCAAATTAGAAGGTTCTGGGATTCAAGTGTCACTGCAAAGCACTGAGCATGAAATTTAGACCGACTTCAGTGTAGTACTGAAGTAAAATCATCAAAAGCAAAAAACAATATTAACATAGGTAACTGCAACAAAGCCAATCAATATTTCCTTCCCAGGGCTTTAAAAGGGAATTGATTCAACACTGGATACTTTAGGAACTTGCTCTCTAAAGTACCTTTGTGTACAACCTGGAAGGACTACAGCAATTCAAGAAGGTAGTTCATCACCAACATCCTCAAGGGCTGTTAGAGATAAGCAATAATTGCTGGCTTGTTAGTGTTGCTCAAATCACATGAACACACAAAGTCACATCTTCCAAAGCATTCCTTAGACTTAAATTGGAGAATTGTAAACTTGACTTAATTTTTAAAGAAGGTGTGAAGAAACCAGCAAATTATTAACAATAAAAATAGGCAATGCTAGAAGAACTAAGAAGCAAGAAACAGAATTGGAGTTAATATTTCAGGTCAATAACCTTTCATCTAGATGTGGAAGTCAGGAATGTAATAGGTTTTAAGTAAATTAATCTGAAGAGCCGGATTGCGCAGTGGTAGCTGAAAATGTCAGCTGGCTTATTGTGAATATTAATCATATCTATTTCTGGCATAGGCTCTCAGAGGATTTGAGGGAGTAAAGGGTTGGGGGCAGGCCATGAGAAGGTACTGGTAATAACGAATGTAACTCCTTTATTCAAAAGGGAGACAAAGTAGGAAGCTACAGCCAATTAGCTGTAGTGAGCAAATATGCTGTTATTCCTTCACTGTTCCAGAATCATTGCAGCTCTGAGAAGAATGAAGACTGCTGTAGTTCAAGACAACACGTGCCACCACCTGTTCAAGAGCAATTTGGGCTAACAGTAAGTGTATACAAACCATCATTTCTTTGGATAATAACTGAACTGGACTTGGAAATGGAGAAAAATTAGTTTGCAGATGACAAAACTTGGAAGAATAAGGTGGTGGTCAAGAGACTGGTCAAGCCAAATGTGTCTTAATGTATTTTTGGAGGAAGAATAATGACAGTAGTGACGACACGAACTAAACTACATCATTTCAAACAGAATAGAGGAACAGAGGCCTCGGGGTTCTCATATGCAAGTCTTTACGTGGTAGAAAAAGTTAATAAATGGTGAAAAAAAGCTTGTGGAATCATTGGCTTTACAAATCGTATTTGTGTGCAATCTTCAATTTACAGTAATTGTATCCAATTTTGCACAGCACACTTTAAAAACTGCATATCAATTCTTTGAAAGACTATAGTAGAGACTGACCAAAATTACACCAAGGAGAAAGTTTGGCTATATGCCAAGTCTATAGAATCTGGGATTGTTTGACTCAGAAGGTCATGGGAAGATTTAACAGGCGCTCAAAATAATGAAATACATAGATTTGCAATTGTCTGTAATGTTTTGCATGACAGGGTGTTTGCAGCACATTTAACAGTAACTTTCAAGGGGGGTGGAATTGGAAAATAAAATTTGCACAGCTAGCAAGAAAGAGCAAGGGCAAAACTATTTTAAGGCATTGTTGAAGTTGCCATAACAGAACAAAGGGCAGCTTTCAAGGTCTATGATTTCATTTGGGGGGTGGGGGGGGGGGGTCGTGGAGAAGAGGTGTCAATGCTTGAAAAATACCATACTAGTGCAATTAATTCTACAGCTAATCTAATTTAGTTAATAGCTCAGAAGCAATTATTCGATTGGAAGCAAAGTTAGTTCGTTGAAGCCAACCAACTCAAAAGCATT